TTAATAATTCTTTATTAATAAATTCTTTTATTTTTATAAATTAATTGGAATAAATATTTTGGCAGGCTTGTACATTATTATCATATAAGAAGGACAGTTCTTGCGGTGCTAATTGCCATTGAGTTGCTAAGCAGCAATATATTGTAATTGGTGTGGCGAAAACGGCCCACTTTACTATTGAATGTTTAAAGCTGATCAAACGATATTCTAATTATTTATAAAAGGTTAAAGGATTTATTTAATAAAGAGATTCTTAAAAAACCCTAATCACTTGGACATAAAGTCTTATACTACAAGGATTCTATGCCGAACCTTACATCTTTTTTTTAAACCCTTCTTATATTTAATTATATTATTCTTGACATTTAAAACTTGTATTATAACAGTACTTAAAGACAAAATTATAAAGGAGAACTGCCATGGACCTTTCCCCATACAATCAAGAGCTAAAAAAGACTTCAACTTGCTTAGGTCTTGATCAAAGGTTCTATTCCAATACAATAGTGTTTCTTGAAATCTTTATATTTTTGGATATAATATTTATTTATCTTAGAAAAGTAAGAAAAAAAAAGTACTTCTTGAAAAAAGATTTTTAAAAAAAAAAATTTTCAAAAAATCAGTGATGAACAGATGAGAGTTTTTTTTTTAATAATAAGTAGATTAAGCTATCTATTACTAATAATAGTCAATAGATAATATTAACTCTTTATATATAGAAGATATAAATAATATATAAAAATATAAATGATTTTATATTTAAAAAACTTTTAATATATAACTTAAATATTTATTATCAATAAAAAATATATATTATTATATAATTTATATTTTAAAAAAAAAATTTTAAACTTCAAAAAATTAATTATTTGATTTTTAAATTTAATTAATTTTTTAAAACTTTTTTTTTATTTTTTTTAAAAAATCTGTTTATATTAATTTAATTTTTAATTTTAATTACATTAGAATTTTTAAATAATAATTAATTAATTAAAAATATAAATTAGTTAATTAAAATATAACAAAATACAGAGAGACCTCCCTAAATGCACCCTCTATAAATGCACTTACTATATTTTCTCTCTCTAAATGCACGGTCAAGCTTGGTCCCAAGTACATAGAACTCTTAATAAAATTACCTCCATAAATGCACACCCTCTATAAATGCACATTTTTCAAAAATTTTCCTATGGTCCCGAGGGGTGTGCATTTAGAGAGGGTTCACTGTATAAATTTTTATATATTTTATCTTATATACAATAACAATAAATTTGATAATATAATTGATTATAGCAAAAAAGTTATTTTTTTGTTTTTTCTTTTTATATTAATTTTTTTTTATAATAAAAAAAAATCTTATTCTAATTTAATAAAAGTTTTTTCATTATTAATTATTTTAAAAGAATATTTAAATAATAAGATCTTATAATATTAAGAATATAAAGATATAGACAATAAGTCTTATTATATACAATATATATATTAAATATTATAAAATAGCAAAAATTAAATAGTTATTTAATTGTAAATAATAATAAATAATTTATTTTAATAAATTAAAAATTAATTTACAAAGATTTTTTTTATAGCAAAAATTATTTATTTATTTTACAAAAACCAAAAATTTTTATTCTATAAAATTACAGATTTATATTAAGATAACAATCTTTATATATAAACTAGCAATGATTTTTCAAGTTAAGGTTTTGATACTTTTTTTTAAAAAAAACAATTATTTTATTTTCAATAATATATAGTATCTAAAAAGTTACAAGGATTTAAAAACCTTAAATAATTAATATTTCATAGTAATAGTTTAATGAACCTATTTTCTTGTAATGAAATAATTAGTAAATAGCTAGATTTTGTGGACAATATAGTGATTTTTGATATTAAGAATTAAAGAATCATACAAATCTTTAGATTTATTAATGGATATTCTGCTACTTGGAAAATGTTTGACACTAATATAATAATATTGAATTGTATTACTGTTTTTCTAATCACAGATTAATAAACATCAGTATGCACTCTAATTTGAAGTAAAAAAAACAATATTGATACTGTATATTTTTTAATATTTTTTATTTTTGTAAATAGAAAGCAATTATTGACTTATATAATATTATTAATATAATCAACATTTTTTACTAATTTTCGCGATATTTGTCTTCTAAGTACAGGCTAATCACGATGTCAGCGCTCTTTTTTTTACAATTGAATTACTAGAAAATTAAAAACTATAAACACAGTCATAATTATAAAAGCAGGACTTGATATTATTCGGCTATTCATACTCATTGAAATCATAATAATCCTCCCCCGCATAATAATTATTGTTTTCATATTCATACGACTCTTGTGCGTTGTAATCCTCATACTCGTCATAATCTGATGTACCGTGTACTGCATCTGCGCTTTTCAGTTTTAAGATCGGTAGATTATCCCATTCATAAGTTTTTTCCTCATCATCCCACCTCGAACTAGCAGGAGTACTACTACGCGCGAT